GTCAGCTCGAAGGCGCGCAGCTGTTCGTGGTCGAAGGCGCGCTGCGCGAACACCACTCCGCTCTGTGCGCTCACGGACACGTAGGACAGCAGCGTCCTAGGCTCCAGGTCACTGGCCACGATGGAGTAGGAAACCTGGCCGTTGGGTCCCAGATCTGGGTCCCAGGCACTGACCTGAGCGATGGAAACTCCGGGAGAGTTGTTCTCAGCCACGTGGACCAAGTAGGAGGCGTGGTGGAAAACTGGAGCGTTGTCATTGACATCACCAATGTGTAGGGTGACGCTGGCGCTGGAGGACAGGGGAGGCTTGCCCTTGTCAGTAGCGGTGACAGTGACGTTGTACTCTGCGGTCTTCTCTCGGTCCAAGGGCCCATCTGTTACAAGCTTGTAGTAATTATGGGCAGAGGTTTCGATTCTAAATGGAACTTTTTCTTTTATGAGACATGTGATCTCTCCATTTTCCCCAGAATCTTTATCGTATGATTTGAACAGAGCGATCACCGTTCCGGGTTCTGCATCCTCGGTTATGGAACTGGACACTGAAGTAAAAATCACTTCGGGGACATTGTCGTTCTCATCTAGAATTTCTAGGATAATTTTACATTCAGTGGCCATGCCTCCACCATCCTTTGCTTCTATGCTCATGGTATAACTTCTATTGATTTCGAAGTCTATAGGATCTTTGGATTTAATTTCTCCATTTTTGTGGTCTAGTATAAACTTATTTCCAATACCATCTCTTAGGGACTTGAAGGAGTAGGTGATCTCTGCATTGGCACCCTCGTCCTGATCAATAGCTGTCACCTGTAGCATGGAGGTGCCTGGGGGCACGTTCTCTCTGAGGCTGACTTTGTACACATTCTGAGTGAACACCGGGGGATTATCATTGGCGTCAGTGACCTTGATCTTAATCTGAGCAGTCCCAGTTAGGACAGGGTCTCCCCCATCCACTGCAGTCAGGAACAAGAGATGGGAACTCTGTTGTTCCCGGTCCAGGGACTTCTCCAACACTAATTCTGGGACATTCTTGTCTTCAGTCTTGTCCTTCACCATGAGAGAGAAATGTTCATTAGGGCTGAGCTGGTAACTCTGAAGAGAATGAGGCCCTACATCTGCATCGATAGCAGATTCCAGGCCAAATCTAGTGCCTGGAAGTGCAAATTCATTGATTTGTAAAACAATGGTATTTTCGGGGAAATGAGGTGGATTGTCATTTATATCTTCTATTAGCACATTTATGTGAAAAACATTTAGAGGATTTTCTGCTACAATCTCTAATGGTATTACACACAGAGAGCTCAGAGGACAGAGAAACTCCCGATCTATTCTGTCACTCACAAGGATGTTCCCATTCTCAGTGTTCACGGTAAAGTATTGTTTCTCTGCACTAACTCTGAGGTTTCGGGCAAGTAAATTCCCAATAGGCAACCTCAGGTCCTCAACAAGGTTCCCTACTACTGAGCCCCTGGCCATTTCTTCCGGAATAGAATAGCGGATCTGCTCAGCGAGCGCCTCGCTGAACAAAGGCAGAAGGAAGGGAAAGAGTACTTGCCGCCTCCAGCGTCTTTGCTTCCCTCTGTATTCCATCCTTCTTGAGTGTTGTTGCAGCTTGCGATGCTAACAGAAGATTCTTCACAAATGGCTTTGAAAATCCAATGATCCTAGTTTTTGGGTACCCCCAAACTCTATGGAGTTAGATTTGCCAAGCAGAAAACCCAAGTCTGGTACACTCTCCTCCCAGCCTTGCTTTGTGACTGCGCAGATAAACTCCGGGGAGCCAGCTCTTGCAGAGAATTGGTCAACAGCGGCGCTCAGAGACTATTTAGAAAACTGCAGTCTGAAGCTTTTGCAAATTCAATGGGATTCCATTTTCCACAGATAAATTGGGCTTATGTGTAAGGACTGAAGCAGTTTATGAGTTTTGAATGTGTCTGTTTTCCAGTGCTTAGTATCAAAGAAAGTTCCTTAGTGATGGGATCTATAGTAGAGCCATTAATCTAGTTAACAGGAGAAATCTGTCTTTTCCTAATCAAAGAAAATGGACACACTGGAAGAATCAGGGAAAGTCTTCTCCAGATTAACAAAGACCACGTGGAAAAATAGCCCCACCAAGTGGTATAGGAAAATTTTGACAACGATAAAGATAAAATGACACCTTGTATTACCTTCACTCTCATATGCAAAAATGTTCTCTTTTTATCAGACAAGTACCTGAAGCTACATACACATTCAAAATAAAGATGGCCAATGCCATAAAAATCTTCCTAATTACTTATAGTCAAGATTTATGAAAGTGATTATTATGTGTTTACATGTTCATCATACAGAATGTAAATTTTAGTGTAGGAATTACCCATAAAAATTTAATGACATGAAATTAAGGGTATTTTTATCCTTTTATTTAAATAGATTATATATTGCAGCCTCACAAAACTTTATAACTACCTCCAAATCAAAATAACCTTAATACCAAGTTTCAAAGCCAATCTTTCCTTTTTGTTCTCCAAGATATTGGTTATCCACTGTTAACTAGTTTAGACTGTGCTTAAAAACATGGAATGACTTACCTCTTCCAGTCAAGTATATTATATACTTTTCATTAATTTTTCTTGACTCCCAGACAAACTTAGGCATCTGTTAGAAGGTTTGCCTTTCCTGCTGTTGGAATTTTTTGTCCAAGAACTAATCAATTTCCAGTTAATTATAAGAAGGTCACCTCTTAAGGGAACTTGAAAGGGAACATTAACATACAACATACACATAATTTGGGTCAAAGACTTAGAAGCCAGTGGGAGAGTGCTGAGCTAAACTGATTATGGAAATGAATCCTGTGATCAAACAGCCCATACATGTCTCCACCTCACCTGGCTTTCCTAGATCTTGCTTCAGATAACATGAATGTAATTAGATAACCACCAAGACTTCAATAACAAGTTGTTTCTAAAGACTGTAATTCAATATACTTATATGTAATACAAAATGTGCTTATAAAAGAAAGAAAAAAGAAAGAAAGACAGAAGAAAGAGAGAGAAGAATCCATCACTCCTAGGTAAACTGAAAATGAACAAAAAATATTCAGAGGAATACTCAGTCCCCCATCCCCCCACAGTTCACCTCCAGGAAGCACATGCTCTACCACTGAGCCATACCCCTAGAACTTATATCAGTCTCTTTAAAATCCTAATACCTTCGCTCACCTCACCTGTTCCACTGGAAGAAACTGAAAAGTGAAACCATTTTTAGCATATTTGAAAACAATTTTTTGAGAAACCCTGGATTAAAATGATTTCCACAAGTGAATCTGCTACAACAAAAGCTATCTACAAAGACATTAAAGTAAAAGAATGAAAGGAAATAACATCAGCCCAACAATTCAATTATTTCTTTAAGAACAATCTAATGACTTTCCTATAGTAATAGAAAAGATATCTGGAACTTAAAAAAAAAGAATTCTGCATTTTCTCTCCAAGAAAACCTAGTTAATATGTCTGTTTTGATAGCATAAAGAAATGAGACAATGTTGAAAGTCAACAAGATCTAAATATATTACCAGCCTTCAAAAAGTAAAATAGAATTATTTCATGCTCAGAAAAAAGCCTATATGTATACTCATGTGTGCACAGATAAATAAATCAGAAAGAGCCAAGGAGAGAGTACTACTACATCAACAAGGTTAAATGTGAACATTAGAAGTAATAGTACAGGCTGGTAGGATATAACTATAAATCAATGGAGATACTGAGAAATTGAAATAGACACTGTGAAATTGAAATAAATAAAATGTTTGTAAATCATTAGTTTGAATCATGATCAGTTTGCACTGATAGCGACAGACAATGATGATAGAAAAATAATACTAAAATTCACCTTATTGCAAAGCAAGCCATGGTAGTTGAACTGATCCTTTCTAATCAAAGGAAAATATGCCAGGTCTAAAAATATAAATGAGACTTTCACACTTTCACAAGCCTTTCTGAAAGCTGATGGCAATCCGATAAAAGGTAAAGTACACAAACTCACATGCATCACTCTAAATATGTATGAACTATGTTTACCCAAACCCCAGTTTTCATAACAGGCTCAGCAAAAATTCCCTTAAAAGACTTGTGGCAAGATATAAAAAATTGGGAGGCAGAGAAATAGATCTCACCTGATTATTTGTTGGGTCATATTTGCCCAAAATGGTAGCTGAGTCTATCGAGAGAGGCTCGCTTTTCTCACAGCTCCCCTGGCTGATAAGGGTGTCCATGTAGTTGGGCTGCGGGAAGATCAAGTGGCTTTTCCTCGAGTCCTTGGTGAGTGAGACCTCATGGGAATAGGTCTGCAGGAAAGCATGCACCCCGTCCACACCTACAAAATTTGAGGTGGGTAAACCTGCTAATCCACTGCCTGCTGCCTGGAGAAAGCGAGAGGAGTGCCAGTGCCGAAGTCTGAGTGCCAGCAGCACGATGACGAAAATGAGGAAGATGCAGGAGACTGCGGTGATGGCCACAACTAGATAGAGTGTGAGGCCTGATTCATCAGGATTGGCCGAAGACTCCAGATTCCCCAAGTCGGCCAGAACTTCTGGGATGCTGTCAGCCACCGCCACTGTGAGCGTTATGGTGGCCGACAGGGGAGGTTGGCCATGGTCCTGGACAGACACCACGAGGCTCTGCTTGAGCGCATCTTTGTCCAACAGTGTCCGGGCTGTGCGTACCTCGCCTGTGTGCAGCCCCACCATGAAAAGCCCTGGCTCGCTGGCCTTAAGCAGGCGGTAGGACAGCCAGGCATTCTGTCCAGAGTCTCTGTCCACTGCCACCACCTTGGTTACTAGATAACCAGGCTCTGCTGAGCGGGGTGCCAACTCCACACCAGTGGAACCATCTGTAGGGATGGTGGGATACAGGACCTCAGGGGTGTTGTCATTTTGGTCCAGCACAAACAGGCTCAGCGACACATTGCTGCTGAGTGGTGGGTTCCCGCTGTCACGTGCAGCCACTCTCAGTTGCAAGTTTTGGAACTGTTCATAGTCAAAGGATTGCAGTGAGTACAGGATGCCTGTATCTGAATTAATAGATACATAGGAGGATAGAGGCACTCCCTGGATAGTGTCCTCCATTAGAGAGTAAGTGACATGGGCATTCTCTTTGCTGTCCAGGTCCACAGCAGTCACTGAGAAGATGGAGGCTCCTCTGGGGTTGTTTTCAGGAATATAGGCAGAGTAAGAGGATTGGGAGAAAACTGGAGGGTTATCATTGTCATCTGCCACATTCAGCAAGAGGTGAGCTTCTGTATACAAGGGTGGGCTTCCCTGGTCTTTGGCTGTCAGTGTTACATTGTAGCTCTGGATTTGCTCTCTGTCCAGCTCACTGTTTGTTATCAACTTGTAATAATTTCCATAAGTCTTTTCTAATTTAAAAGGAAGATTATTAGGAATGAAACAGGAGACCTGACCATTTTCTCCAGAATCTCGATCTCGCACATTTAGAAGAGCAATTACTGAACCTGGAGGAGAATTTTCCAGCAATGAATTAACAGAAGAGGTAATAGTAATTTCTGGGGCATTATCATTCACATCTACAACTGTGATCAACATCTTAGCAGTGGTTAAAAGCCCTCCACCATCTTGGCCTTGAATTTCCATCTCATAGAATTTGTATTTTTCAAAATCAAGAGGTCCTTGTACTAGAACTTCTCCAGTTTTCGAGTTCATCTGGAATATTTCAGAAGCTTTGCTTTCCATATTTCGGAATGAATACATCACTTCCCCGTTTGTCCCTTCGTCTGGATCTGTTGCGTTTACCACGAGCACCCGAGTTCCTGAGCTGAGGTTTTCGGGAACACTCACCTGATACACAGGCTGTGTAAACTTTGGGATGTGGTCATTTACATCGAGGACCACCGCGCGAATGGGAATGGTGCCCTTGCGGATGGGATCGCCTCCATCTGCCGCTGTGAGGAGGAGGTGGTGAGCTGCTGCTTTCTCCCGGTCCAGGCCTCCCTCCAGCACCAGCTCCGGATTCTTGACCCCATCAGCTCCCCCTCGCACTTGCAAAGAAAAGTAACTATTAGGGCTGAGCTGGTAGCTCTGGAGAGAGTTCGCCCCCACATCCGGATCCCTAGCGTTAGGAAGAGGAAATCGCGATCCAGGAGTTGCGTGCTCACTGACTTTTATCTCTACTTCCTCTTCCCGGAAGGTAGGGGCGTTATCATTAATATCAATTATTTCCACCTCCACGCCATAAATCTTCAAGGTGTCCTCCACGAGAATCTCCATACTTAAAAAGCAGGAGGATACCGTCTCACAGAGCTCCTCCCGGTCTACCCTGCCCGCGGTGACCAAGCTGCCGCCTCGCGGGTTCAGAGCGAAAAGCTGCGTCTTTTCTCCGGAGACGATGCGGACTCCACGCTCCGCCAGCTCCTGAGGCTCTAGCCCCAGGTCCTTGGAGATGTTGCCCACAAAGAAACCTCTGTCGGTCTCTTCCGGCACAGAGTATCGGATCTGCCCGTCCCCCAAACCCCACAGCGTCCCCAGGATAAAGCACAGCAGGAGCAGCCCGCTGCGATCCTTACGCAGTTGCGGATTTTCCATGGCAGGGTCTGAGCAAATAATCCGTAGTGTCTTGAGCCAGTTTGTTTCCCAGGCCTTCCGCATCCAAAATATATTAGAAAGCCGAAGACAGCGCTTTTAAGTTTCCAGCATCAGGATCGGTGAGTGTCCATCTCATTCTGCTTTGTGTGGTAGAGGTCGGGGAGGGGAACTCAGTGTCTCTCTGCCTCCCATTCCCTGATTGGTGAACAGCGGCGCCTAGAGCCCAATCTTATTATTGCAATGATTAAGAAAAACTTGGTCTTGTTACATAAAGAAATTATTACACTTACCTTTTCGTGACTCATACGTACTTGTAAAGCTTAAAATCGCAAACAATAGTTATGCAATGTGATGTGATGACAGAAGTTTACCGAGAGCACTTATGAAAGCAGAGATTATTAAAAGGGCTTGTTTAATTTTTTTGAAGTTTTCAAAAAATACTACTGGAACTAATAACTTGCAGGTTAAGTTTTAATTTATTCTACTGATTGACAGGAGCTGGAATTTGTGGATGTAGAAATAACATGGTCCACACAAGATCATCAGGTAGGATGCATGGCTAATTCTTATCCTTTTTTTGAGTAACATAAAGATGAAACGTTTCATAAAATTAGAATATTATTTGGATTGTCATTTGAAATATCAAAAGAATATAACTGTATACTATATCCCTAACCAAGTCTATTTTCATGAAAATTTCCCCTGAGATTTCATCTCTGTGTATTGTATGTATGGTGCTATGGGTGGAACCCAAGGCCTCAAGCATGCTAAGCATGTACTTTATCACTAGGCTACAATCCCAGTCCTCAAAAACTTACCTTAAAACGTTTTTGTATAATAGGAAGATCAAGTATTGCAAATTTTTGTCTTAATAGTGATATCCAAAGGTTTCATTTAGATTTATATTAGGACCTTACCAATAACAGCATTATATTGGAATATATTGGCACACTGGAATATAAAAAGCATTATTTTAAATACCTTGTTAAATGTCGTCTTGTCTGCTTCAATACTGGCAGTTAAAATGCTAGCCAGTAGCATGGAAGAGCTATCTTTGTTGAAAATATCTTGTGCCGCTGGACAGTGATCAACAGATGTGAGAAAATTAACTTCTGGGTTTGTTTGATTCCCTGGCACACACAAATTATAGGCATAGGGCAACATTCCCTCACTGTAGTTGGGGGGAAGCACAGGTCCAGGCTTTGAGCAGAGAACTGACCCAAAGCAGCTCTTGACTGAATGGCTGGAAGAGTGTCGCAATCGTAAAGCAATAGCCAGAATCACTGCGAGGAGGAAGAGCACAGAGATCAAGGCCAAGGCCACCACCAGGTAAAACTGCAGCTCGCCCTGGGGGTCAGAAGGGACAGGATGATCCGTGAGATCTGGCAGCACCTCCTGTAGGCTGTCCGCGAAGACCAGGAGCAGAGTGGCTGTGGCCGAGAGGGGCGGTTTTCCACCATCGCGCACAGCGACCAGCAGGCGGTGC